CAAACACGGGGAGAACATGCAAACTCCACACAGAAAGACCCCGGCCTGATGTTGGAATTGAACTCAGGACCTTCTTGCTGTGCGGCAACAGTGCTAATGTTGCAGCTTTAAGGCAGGGATGACTCCGGGAGTAGCTTTCTCGCTGCATATGCTTTATTTCAAAATCATATCGATGACAAAAACACACAGCAGCTCCTCTTCAACTCCTAGCCTTTCGCTGCGGTGGAAAAAGAGAACGACTCCAATCCCCTTCAAGGAACATACGTACAAAAGACTTTTCCTGACACACCAATGGGGCGTTCAATGCCGTCTCGTAAATATGAGTACTCTGGCAGAATAAGTTCAAATGAAAAATACACCAGAACAAACAAGCAAGAAAAAAAAGAAGTGTGGGGTACCTTTCAACCAATGAACAAAGTATAACACTTTATACTTTTTAACATAACCCGATCCCGTCAATATGTGTATCTCTCACACTAACCACCGTGCTCTCTTTTTATGAATATAAACCACAAAGCTCAAAAGTAACTTCATCATTCCACTGCACACATGGGTTATCTTGTAACCTTTCTGCTTTCCGCCTCACACTAAAAAGTGACAGCTGGCTAGCTGATATTTTTGTGTGTGATCAAATCAGCAGTCTGTTGCTCCTCTGGTTCAAATTCTTCTCATCTCCATAAGGCATTTTCTTTTTTTAATATTTCATCCTAGCTGCTACTACTAACGATCTTTTTAAAGAGAAGAAAACTAAGTGTGAATACAATTACAAAACCTGAAATGCTGAGTTTTGGTCAGAAATTCACATACACATACCTGGTTTGTGACACATTTTGTTTCGCTTGGAGTTCACTTGGAGGTGCATCATACAAGGCTAAGAACTCAAGGAGACAAAGTGTGGTGGAGCGTGGTCTTCGGTGCGACTGTGGGGACGGCAGATGCACCAAAGCAGCATCCACAATCACACATTACTGGCATAGATAAACTGAACTAGGTCATGTCACTGCTGTTGTTGGTGTGTGCTTTGCTGTGAGCGGAAAAGCTGCAGTTGTCTGTGTGAATAATGCAAGTGGTGTAACTTGCTTCATTCTCCCACTCTGAGTAATGAGAAAAACGCTATATAAGAACCAGTCTGTTTGTTATTTACACAAATATCAAAGCTGAATCTCTCTCTATTCCACTTTTCTCAACACCTGCCATGATGTTGAGAGAAGAGTAAGGTTGCTAGCATAGCTGAAGATTGAGGTGACGTTTGCAGTCACCTTTTAAGCTAATGTTAATTGGTAGGCCCATGAACCCGCTATACAGGAAGTCTGGTTCAGCTCCTTGTAGAAGAAGTTCTAATCCCTGATCCTATGAGTCGATGTGGGTGGGAGGACTCACACAGCCTGACTGCCTGACATCTGCGTGTCTTCCCTGCTCACCCTGATATGAAGAAACTTGAGTAGTCTCGCGGGTCAAATTGTATCAGTCACACCTACTATGGCAGCCCCCCTGTTGATCATGGCACTTTGTTTTTTATCTGACTTGGTTTCAGAGTCTGGACAGCAGGCCCCAAAGGTAGATATTACTTGGAAAGGTTAGAGCAACCTATTTGAGCTATTTGGACAAATATAGATTAAAAGTTGTATATATATATATCTATATATATATATATCTATATATATATATATTGTTTCATTAAAGGTTAAAAAAATGGATGTTCATTATTTAGACTTTTTTGCCTAGAAGATTGTATTAAAGCAACTTAGAGCAAAACAAAAGCAAAAATGATTTTAGAAAAGGATGATAAAATCACATCAATTCTACTTATTTATTTAATCCACTCTAAGCTGATGATTATTTTGTTCTTTGGAGGGAGATAAATTGGTGGTGATATGGAAAAAAAATGTTTTCCTCCTCAGTGCTCTGTGGAAATATTCGGCAAAGCAGGATTCCTTGATAGATCCCACATCTTCTCAAACGTATACTTTTGCTTTTCCACAGGGAAAACCTTCGAAATATCCCGTCTGGATTGTGACTAACTAATGTTCAGATTTGAATTTTCACAAAGGAAAAAAAAACTACAACCGTAGCTGAACAAACAAGTTATTGTTGGCACTTCTGCAATCAATATACTCTGAAATAAAAGATTTAAAGGATGAGACAGCTCAGCACAGCATGTTATTAACTTCACACATGAAGTGGTTCAGTCCAGTCAGACTTCAGTTTTGCAGCCACCGTCCCCATCCTTCTTCAACTGGTTGTCATGGTAACTCTGGACCTTCCTCCAACGAATCCTGAAATCTGTTGCACTCCTGGCTCCACCCAGAGTTTCTACCTAGAAACAAAACCTGTGTGTTAACATTAACTTCAAATTTGAAAACCTAATTTTTATTTTTTTTTATTAGTTTTGTCTACTTTGCTTTTGTTTTCCCGCAGTACCACGTCCTATCGCATACCCCGGCTGTGCTCTCTTTTAAAAAATTTTTTTTTACTATTTTAAAGGGAAAAACCTCAGTCACTTGGACCAGTGTTTGTTATTCCATAACTGCATTTTGAATGTGACAAGTCTACCAATCCCCTATGTAATTCATAAATATTGTTTTGGTTCTGACTATTTTGCTCTTTATCATTTGATTGACTTCTACAGTGTCCTGCTATGGTTAATGGTAACATGAGTGATATCAAAAATCATCAGCAACCCAAAATTAGCAGCCAAAGGGTTCAGTCTGCAGCTCAACACTCTCATGTGAACCTACAGTCTCCCCCTCCGGTCTCTCTTGTCCTCCTACTCCTTTCAAAAGCAAA